AATGTAAGAGCCTGACAGCACAAGAGAAAATGTCTGTTCTATATGAAGGAATTGCATTTGAACAATGAGACCACAGTGATTACAAGAAAAGCACTTTATTTTATTAATTAAAATAGCAAATTTCTGGGATCAGCTGTTCTCAAGGAAGATTTGCCCTCAACCAAAAGAGTCCTGAAATCCAGCAAGTTACATGTAACAGTGGTACCTGATTGACTGAATTTAAAACATCATGACAAATGCTCCACTGATAGGGAAACGTCTTTCCATTTCCTAAGATCTGTGTCTAACAGAACATGTGCATAAACTTTAGCGTTGATCTTCAGCAATGATAATCTTAATAATAAACCCTTTGGTGCTAGGAGTTGGGACGTTATGCCGTGCAGCATACAGAGTGCATGCACCCTTGCTAACAACATCGGACAACCCCAACTCCATGGGATTATCATTTGAAGTATCTCTGCGTTCAGCTCTTGTTAGCTCCCACAAAGACTGTGATATTGCTGAGTATTCCTGGTTGCGTTGTGTGAGTGAGTAGATGGGTCTGAGAGGAGAGATGTTCTACGCAGATGCCTTAGCCTCTTGATGTGGAAAGTTGAGTGCCCAAGCATGAAGCCCACTGCTGGCAGTGCATGTGCTGGGATGGTCAAGGGGTTGATGGGCATTTTAGCAAGGCAGCTAAAAACGCAGAGTAATTTAGACAATTTTTCATGTTTTGTGTTTTATCTTTAGTAATGGATGGATAATCAAACAGAAGTATGTCATGATGTATATTGTAACTGCATACGATGTCATTATGTCACCTTGTAACACTAAAGATGTGTAGATGTTGTTGTTCCTGTGCAGAGAGAGAGATGGGCAGCAAATGAGTTGCAGGTCTGTTCTGCACCGGTGCTGTAGAGGTGTCTACACTGACACAGCGAGCGAGTGACTGAAATAATCAAGTACTTAACAGACGGGCATTAATTAGTTCTCTGCAAAGGTCTCGTACTTACAGACTGAAACTATGGTGATTCAAAATCTGTGTTACATGCCTGTGTTTTCTCCTCTGTGTTTTCAGCTTGTAATAGCAATAAGTCTCTTGACACAGGGCACCTCTAGCTAATGACCGACTGGCCGTGCCTCTGGCCAGCCGCTCCTTGCGGGCAGAGGACGCCCTGTGGTTTAGCTCACCATGGCGTAGCTACTTAGTGCGTGGTTTGCAGTAAGTGTCTGTCAGTGAATTATTTGAAAACCTTTTAAGACATCACTTTGCATTGTGTTTGTCTGCCTTTCGAAACATCAGTGATCAAGTTTGTGCTACAGAGAGTCAGCAGACACTTTGTGCTGCCTGGGCTTGGGGGATTCTCTCTTACCAGTGTTAGAAACAGGTGACAGAGGAATGGACAAGCAGTGCTGAGAGAAACTTTTGAAGCTCTTCTTTTGCTGTCTGCAGTTGTGGTTGGATTTGGACAGGAGATGGTGGCTGGTTGTCTTGGCGAGCCTTTCGAGCACAGTACATTTCAGACTTTGACTCCAGCTTGTACTGACTTCCATGACATACAGTATGCCCTCTTGTACTGCAGCCATCTCAGAGGAAATAGGTCATTTCTGTTTGGATTTTGGCAGTTTTGCACACAGCTTCGCTTTCCACACTAATCCATCTTCCAGTACATTCCTGTTGCTTAAAGAACATTTATTCCAGGATTGTTTTACATTTTTTTCCCATCTTTACTTGTGGCTTCTTAAAGCTGACTGTTCTTGCAGGGGCCATGTGCTTCTCCTAGAGTACAAAAGTAAGGTCTTTCCTTACTAACTGCAGGGTCTATATATTACACCTCAATGTACACACTTTGCTGCTACTGTTTGTACTGTCTACAGTAGAATTTCCTTATCTTGCTCCTGGTAGTGCATTACAGGCAAGCATGAAATGTAAAGTATTTATTTAAATAAAAACCTCTAAATTGGTAATTGAATTACCTCCCTGTAGCTTTAGAGTTTGTGACATTTCTTGACCTTGCTAGTTCTTTCATTAGATCCATGCAAGATCTAGTCATATGGTTAAGGATATTAAGCAGACACGACTATGAACCCAAGAAACCGTATTACTGTTGGTCATACTTAAACTGTTTATTTCCTTAAGTATATGACCCACAAGGATGTGAAATAACTACAAGAAACTGTTTTTGTACACTGTACATCCTTAGTATTTTTACACGTATATGATAGGGATGCACATTATTTTCCTTCGTACAGACAGCTTAAATAAAGCACTATGTCAATCTGCTACTTCTGTGTTTTTTAATGCTAATTTGTTCTGGAGGTTTGTAAATATATATATATATATATGTTCAAGCTTGCCACAAAGGACGTATTTTTTATATCTGCACATTACTATTAAATATCTTAGGGGATAAAATTCGTAAGTTGTTCCGTGTCAGAGAAAAAAAAAAGGAAATGAGAAGGCTATATTGCAGATTACAAAAGATTTCTCAAGTTTTGGGTTAAATATTTACTTCATATTTTAAAGTAATTTTATATAGGTTAGATGTTTCAATCCTGAAATGCACAAAGAATTTACTTAATTTCTTCTTACAAGAAAATGTACATCGTTATTTTTTTATCACTGTATATATAATGATCTGTGCATGTTTAGTTACAAGTTTTATTTGCTGTGAAGTCCTAGTGATAACTGTAACTCGCTGTGACATATTTCAAATACTGGGTGAACGGTTTCAGCTTGTAAATTATTAAGTTACAGTATTGTCAAAAAAAAAAAAGTTTTTATGACTAAGCAAGATGTATTTGTGCTTTGGACCGAGGCTGTTGCCATACAGGTGGTTCATGTTAACTCTATGAGGTGTATGTCCTTATAAAAGTAAATTTGGGTTACACTTTTGAAGCAATGATTCCACAGGGCTATGTTCCTATCAGAACACCCATGATTTAAGTGATTTTCAGCTAATGAAATTCTTGGCCTCATATTCCACAGCTAGGTGATGTGTTTGGGTAAGGAGAAGGGAAAAGTGAAGGTGGGATTTACAGGGCACCATAGAGTGGGACCCTTTGAAGCCCATGAGCTGGTCCAGGGCCATTTGAACCAGTCGATCTGGAGGGCTGAGTGTCCCTAAAGCAGGGGGTCATCTGGGTTTTAGCTGTTCTTTTACATGAATGCTTCTCAGGAATAGAGGTGCTTCATCCAGGTCTCAGGTTTTCTCCTTTTTTTTTTCCTCCTTTTTTTCTCCCCCACCTTGTAATAGGAAAGAGCATCAGAGAGACAGCCAGCCGTAGTTCAGTGATATTAGGATGTCAGTGACCAGGATGCAGCTGTGGCAGGGGCAGGACTATATGGTCAGGTTGCATCCTGTGTTGTGGAACCACACTCAGTCTGCTGACCTGGGGTTTCCTGGATTTGATTGTCTGATCTGACACTTGTAAACTTTGTAAAACTAAGCATTTTATGCTGAAGTAGAAGCAGGGGAGGGAGGGGGGCGGGGCATGAGACAGATAGGCCTAGTGCTGTCTCTGTTAATGACTAATTGAAGTAGAATAGCTGCTGCAGGGAAAATGATTCCTTCTAGACTCCTGGCAACATAATGGGTTACACTTACATCTGGGATGAGTATGAAAAAGCTAATTCCAGCTATATATACTGGCAGCCCAGGACCCTTTGTTGATTCAGACCCGTACATGCATGTGAGTGGCTGGCAGTGGTGCCCTGCCCTGCCACCAGAAGCCACCTGGTAGGTGAGGCAGGTCCAGAAAGGTTGAGGGTCCCGCTGTGCCTTGGCCCAGGGCATGGCAGCTCCAGGGTCTCAGTGAAGCCTAAGTGCTGGGACTAGATGCCCGAGTTCCTTTGCGCGCGTAGGCACTGTCTCCTATTTAAACACAGATTTATGCTGCAGAATAATAAAAAATAAATTTTAAAAAGTTTGCATTTTCCTACATTTATAAATGTATATTCTTAACTGTGTAACCATCTATAAAGTAGCGACACTTATAAAACTGTCAGCCTGATTACTATGGCAAACCCCAAGTTTGACTAGAGAGGACTTTCCTTCATGTGGCTTTCTTGTCCCTAAAGACCTGAGGCCATTCTTGCCATGCTTGGTGTCATATCTGTGAAGCAGTTCAGGGAGGCGATCAGATGTGTTTGGCAGTTAAATATGGCAGGAAATTGAAATAGGGAGGAAAAAATCACTTTGATGTTAGGGCTGTACCACTAATAATTCTTAAAATACAAGGGAAGGAAAGATTGTGTTCCACAGCCAATGGTAACTTATTGCATATGCTGTTACTCTTATTTTTGTTACATTTTATGTGTTCATGCCGACTGAAGTAGCTTTATCACAGGGAACTGTTCTTTGTCCTTTTTCCCCCCCTTTGCTAGTGCAATTCTGCAACTACACTGAAGGTAACAGATGTAGAAACTTTTTTCTTGTGTGCATAGCTTATTCTACGCTAGATAGCAAAAGATTCAGATAAATTCTTTCTGAAACTGTGTGGTATTTGGAGAGTAACCTTGGATAACGCAAGTGCGCAGTTAACCAGAAAAAAAGCCTCCAAGTGTTTTGAGTTCAATAATTTGAAGCCAAGTTCAGCTGTTGCCCATCCCTGAGACTGCTGAATATGTGCGGGTGGAAAAGTCCAGCTTCACCACTTTCGGTGTTGAGAGCCAGGCACTTGCTTAATGGCTCATCTGTACAAACCAAGGGCTCCTTTCTCTTAAAGGCTTTATCCAGCAACATTTTAAAGGGAAACCTGCCCCATGGCAATTCTTCCACATTATGTGGAATATTTGTCAATCATTCTTATGCTTTTCTAATGAATAAGCAGTTGTTGGGACTCTCACTTTTTATATAAAAGTGACAAATACCCTGTAAAATAAAGTTCCCAGGTAGATTCTGGTACTGAGTTTGTAAACAGGAAGGCAGCGTGCTTGTGCAGAACTTGCAAACAGCCCCCTTCTCCCTCCTCCCCCTGCACATGCTTTCCCTTGAATTCAGAAGGACAGAATAAGAACCTAAGAATCTTATTAGGTTTATTGATATTTCAGTCTGTGAATAATATAGACATGTATGTTCAATTATGAAAATAGATTAAAACATTTTATAAAAATTGTACAAATTATTAAAGTCTATACCACATAATAGCTTTTAAAACTGGCTTGCAAGCCTGGTCTTTTCAGAAAAGTCTCAGCTGTTGTCCTAGAAAGTCTGATAGGCTGGTAAGGCTTCAAAATATTTGTGATTCTGTAGTTAAAACCAAATAGAAACCAGCTGAAATTAGCTAGCAACTGTGCCTGTTTTCTGCAGAGGTGTCTTTGGGTGAGCCTCAGACAAGTTTCAGCCAGGTGCAGAGCAGACCTGAAAGATAAAAGGAAGAGATGGGTAGTCTGTGTGGCAGTGCCTGTGTTTCTCATTTGTGTCACTTCAGCCTGCAGGCGAGTTCTTAGAAGAGAAATACAGAACTGGTTAAGATTGCAGTAAGGCAGAGTAAACAAGTGCTGTTTCAAAGCCTGTGCTTCCTGTGGACCTGCTGTCCTCACCTCTTTCTAAGCTCAGAAGTCTTACAGGTAGCAAGAACAAGAGATATCTGATTTCTGAAAAACAAGATCTCCATGAGCTTTCAATGTAGCTCCTGTTTAGCAGTAAATAACTGAGCTCTTGTTCTGGGGCACGTCTAAGATCCTGCCCTTTCTCCTTCCAGGAAAGAAGGCGGTGAGTTTGTGCCAGAGAGTGTTTTCTGTGCAGTGTACCCTGTGTGTCCGGTGTGGGCAGCTGTAGCAAAACAGGAAGCTGTTGCCTGGGTGCTGGTAGGAAACCTCTGGTGGGAAGGCTGATTTGCAGTTTTGAAGCTCTTGCATAGCTCTTGTTTGTGCTTCCTTGGTAGCAGTTGACTGAATTGAGTGAGACATCAAACTATTGGAGCTGGGGGAGCTACCTCGAATTAAGCCACTGGAGTTCTAAAAATTGAATTTAAGAGATGTACATGACCTCAGAAATAAAAATAAACTTTCTACTTTGGCTGGTTTTGCATTAGAAGACTAAAGGGTTTGTTTTTTTTTTCCCCCCCCTTGGTTGGTTAGGCTGCGTTAAAAAAAGAATTTATGAAGCTGTAGTTCATTAAAGAATTAAAAGAACTAAAACCAGTAATATGGTACTCCCCCTCCCCCCCCCAAATACATGCACCAACACCAGCTGGTACAGTTGTGTCTGCAGCTAGTGCAAGGAAAAATGAACTATAGCAATGGAAAGCCTTGGGGCTTAAATTCCCTCTCAGTACCTGGTTAGTGACAACAAGAGGAAACCTCCTCTGTGCTGCAGTGACTCCCAGCATAAGAGTACAGGCAGAAGCTCAAAAAGACAATAAAAGACCCCAAACACTCAACTCCTGCAGAAATCTCCTGGCAAATGCTTTTGTGGGTGTCTTTCCACACCACAGTTACCCAGTGTTAATGCTTTGTGAGATGCAGAACCTCAGCTTGATGGAGGAAGTGGGCAAGTCTCCTCCTGCCTGCAGCCTGAACTGCCAACCAAGCGCAAACACTGGCAGAGTCTCAGAGCACCCCCACTATACAAGGGCCTGGGTGCTAAAGCAGTTATTTAAGGTGCGCCATCTCTAACTAAATGGGCACAACTGTCACTCTCACGTCCAGGTAATTGGTAAAGAAATTGATTACTGGATAGTCAGGGGCAGAGCCTTTCCAGTCTTAGTTTCTCCTCCTCCTAAGAGTACTTTGGTATTCACTGAGCAGACCTTTCCAGGTTCCTCTGGACATTACCTTCTCACCTCAGTGGCATCTGTTGTAACTGGGTGGTTGGGTATTCTTAGGTGTACAAGTTGGAAGGGTCTGTAGGAGTGGAACCACAGACATCGTTTAATTTATTGCTGTTAGCTACACTTTGAGGGGAGAGGAGCCACTAGCTTCCTGTTTGGTTAGAAAGCACTGAGGTGGCTTCAGTTCCTCAATCCTCCTTTGGCTGTAAAACCCAGAGTGGAGCTCTCAGGAGGGCCAGGCTTAGCTCCTGGGCTGTGGCCCAGCAGCCAGACACCAGACCTCCCACAGCTGCAGATTCCCAAACGCTGAAGAGCTGAATACCTGAAGTGTCATGTCAGGCCACTCAGACATCAAGCAGAGGTCTATCCTGTTGTAGTTTAACTTGCATCACCTCTGACTAAAACTCCATCCAAGCAGAGGTGAAGATTTTCATCTTCTTAAAAAACACACACCAACCACCAGCACCAACCCCTGCCTGTGGAATGTCACTGCCTGTTACGAACACCCAGGAGAGGCGCTATCTTTGTGCATTAAGACTACACTAAAAACAAAAGCTCTTTCCCCAGTAACCTAAGCAGCCTTCAGGTCTCCTGAAGAACAGTTGAGGGCCATGTAAGGATCAGCCTGAATCACTTTTGACATCGGCGACGGATGAGCTCCTATTTGCCGGAGACAAGGCTCCCCTTCTGTAACATACAATGAAAAAACCAAGCAAACGGGGCACTTGGGACCTCATTGAAAATTCCTGCTGACATAAAAAAGCAAAGAAAACCACTGCCCCAGAACATCTGTAATTGTGACAGTACCTCCTGCTGAGCGACTGGGGTGAGGATGGGAACATAGGCACGGGTGAGTGTATTTTAACTTCCTTTTAGAAGAAAAGTGGTCTGTTCACAGACACGCTCGCTGTGAAAGAGACATCTGTAACGAGGGAGGAGAGAGTTTAGTGGCTCGGTCACACGGAGAGCACAGGGATAGTGCAGGTTCCTGCCAGGGAGAGGCTAGCTTGCAGAAGGAGATCTTTGGGGGGAAGGCAGAGCAGCAGTACTGGACGACAGCGCTACCTGGAGGTAATTCTCAAGGTCCAAATCCTACCTGTCTGTGCTCTCACTGGCTCAGCTGGCCAGCAATGCCTTCTGGCAGCCAGAGTCTGTGAGGGGATTGTCCACCGGGACAAACACTGATTTCTGTCAAACTGATAGACACCAAGGCACATCCTGCAAGTGAGGGGCATCCCAGCTTTCACAAACATACCTGGTGGGCGGTGCTGAGGTTTCCAGCAATCTCCATTTAGATATTTGTTTGTTCTACTATGCACATTTATTTAGTATTCTGTATTTAGTACCTATGTACAAGGGGAGCTAAGTATCTGTTATCCTCCTGCCTTGGGGGGTGAGTTCCAATGCACAAGAGACTTTCAAAGGCAGAAATTCTGAACTGGAGTCTTCTGAAAACATTCAAGATGAGAAGTGTAAATCCCAGATTAAACTTCTGACTACCTTTACACGGTCCCGAATATGTTATGCTGTCTCCCATTATACAGTATTAGTGCCACCTAGTAGATATTAGTGTAGTGGCCTGATACAGAGCTCATGCTGTAAGGTCAGGCCACATTATCATACTAGTCCTTTTTGACTCTGTGAAAATGAAAATCACAATGTGAGCATCTTCATCATGTCATAGGTAGGTGGTTATTCTGAAATAACACTGAGCTTCTTTCAGTAATAGGAGATTTAATATCATTGTTTTAAAAGTATGTAATTCACTGTTGAGAATGAGAAATATGTTTTCAAAAGCTGGTTACTCCTTCAACAAGGATTCTAAAAGCCTTTTAGCTCATGTGGCCTGTAAGGGAATGCAGTATTGTAGCAGGATCAGGTACTTCTTTTATCACGACTTTTTTCAATCACTTGAAAACCCAGCATTTCCCTCACAATGTCAAATGAATTTTCCATGAAAAAGAGACTCTCAACACACCAAAATGTAGCTGGATTTAAAGACATTCTTTTCTTTCTTTCTGCTTGTCTGTCTTTCCTCCCATACAGCAAACACTAACACTAGAAATAAAAATTACAGTGGAAGTAACCCAACTTTTGAAAACAAATCCTATCAAGGCTCAGGGCTTGTCAGTGTTCATTGATTTTTTTTTTCTTTCCTCTAGGTTAGCTAGATTCAAATAAATGATCCAATTTTAAATTCTGGGGCTTTTAAATTAAGTAACTCTTACAAAGCAGCAGGAACTATGTTGCAGTACTGTGACTCCTACAGCACTGCTGCAAATACAATTATTTAGATAATGTTTCTTTCTATGTGACACTAACTGTTATGATTTATTACAAAACAAATTGTAGCCTTTCTGAAGAACGAGGTGATTCAAGCTTTCTCAGAAGGAAAATACTGGAAGCAACAAAACTAACCAATTCCAAATCAAAAGACAAATACCCAGTGACTATCCAGATCAAAAAGTACCTATAGTAAAATCTGAGATCTTCTAGAAGTTCCCACCTTTCTAAGAGTTGTATGTCTCTCTTGCCCTTCAATCTTTAATTGCTCAAATCTTTAAGATTTTTTTTTAATTCTGTTAGGTAAACCTGTCTTTGCTGTGGAGGGCTTGTCCTTAAACTTTTAAGTGCTAAAAAACCAAAACAAAGCAAACCACCAAAGCACAAAAAGCTCCAAGAATTTAAAACCCAAAAATGTTTCTAACACTTCCTTTTTCCTTTTGTCTTGAAGTGTTCGCCAGATTCAACTCACATCTGCAAATACTTTTAGTCCTCCTTTCCTCTCCCTCTCACCCCATATATAGAATATAGAAAAAAAATACCTACTTCTGCTCATTTCTTTTCATCCATCCAGGTTTTTACTTGATTCCATCTGTGTCCTGTTTGAGATCTGCATCCCATTTTTTTTCCTGAAATATACAACTTAAGTTACTAATGGCTTATGTTCCAAGATACAACAGCACAGATAGGTTAATGTATTTTATGTCATCTTTAAAAGATTAGGTCATGATTGTTTTTTTTTTACCTTCCCCCCACCAAAAAAAAAATTAAAAAAAAATTTATTATAAAGGAAAGCTGTTGGACAATACAGTAAAATGTGGAATATGAGGTCACTTTCACCTTTGATCAACACTGAATCTGCAATTGTTTGATTTTAATATTTATTTCTATACTAACTACATGCATCTTTCTGTAGTTAAGAGCTTCCATTTATGGTGAACTATCCTTTAGTTTTCTTAAAACAATTGTTTGATATTCCAGGCAGCTCTCTTGGGCTGAATTCCAATTCCCAGAGAACCACCATTGCTTTAAATAGCTGCAAATGGATTTTTAGGGCTCATTTTTAATAATTTTTTTATCATTCTTCTGAGCGTTCTCAACTTAAAAAGTATCCTCTGGAGCACAATTAACTTGTAATAAACATAAAGAAGGCAGCTTTTGCCAGTCAAGTCTTGATAGCAGCATAATATCTGAATGATATTTTCCTCTTTTGTGTGATTTTCGTACTTCTGCCCAACTTCATAAAAGCACACTCACTTCCAGAAAAAACAGATTATCAATAACAAAATCCCTGTGGACCATGTAAAGGCTGTTCATATTACTAAGCGTGCTTTCCATAAAACAGAAATCGTAATTTCTTTTCTGAACCACCTTCTTAACCTGTCTTATAGACAGAACACTATGGTTGCCCTAAAATTTGCCAGTAGTCACTACATGCTGATAACCTTACACTATCATGAGCCACCGAGTTTGTCTACTACAACAGGAAGTCCTGTAAAACCAAACACACGAACATGATTAGAGGCTTAACAAAGTACAGATTGTATTTCCTAGGTTAAACATTTACTGAACTCTATAGGTAAAAAGCCTACAAAAAATAGCGTGATTTAAATATTTTAAAGTTCTAAGATGATTCACGTTCTGTTTACCGCTAGGTGTGCCACTAGACTAAATTTCCTACATTGAATTTCCTTTGTTACCTCAGTAACAGTAACCTCCAGTTATCCTGGGCAAACTCCCTATCACTAGTTTGCAAGTTAGGAAGCATTGTGATATTGTTGAATTAGTGCATTTACTCAGCCACAAAGCAAGAGTTCCATTATCTGCTAGTTTACTGAAAACCTCATCCTGTGCTTGTTCTCCTTTTTCTGAAAAAAAGTAAAAGAAAGCCAAAGAAAAAAACCCAACCCTGCAGCTCTCTCCCTTATTCCCAAAGCACTGACTGACTGAAGAACAGTGACCAAAACAAAGAAAGCAAGAACAGCCCCTAAGTAGCCACAGCTTCCTAGGGAGCACTGGAAGCAAGAATCAGTCTTGCCAGAGAAGCAGTGCAGTGATTAGTGCTAAGGCAAGACTGATTGTACATTCACCATCTTACATTTAAGTGAGTGAATCATAAAATATCCCAAGTTGGAAGGGACTCACTAGGATCATCAAAGTCCAACTCCTGGCTCTGCATATGACAGTCCCAAAAATCTCACCAGGAATAGTCATGGAGCAGCAGGAAAAATAAATGACTTTTAAAAATAAGGAGAAAAAAAATTACGAAGTGATAGGGGGACTTAAGTCTGACAAATGGCAGCAAAAAACTCAAAGAAATTATCAACATCAAGTTACTGTTTAAACATTAATGCTGGTAAAGATCAGATTTCCCTTTTCTCTGAAAAAGGAACAAAAAATCTTCAGATAAGAAGGCTAGGAACTGTCACCGAGAATAACTTCTGCATTTTTATTGTCACTTCAAAACATTTTCTTCGTTTAGTTTAGGTTTAAGTGAGACTCAGGTTCAGCTGCCAGTCTCTTTCCAACTGCATGAGTTTTTACTTTATTTTTTTTTATAAGTAATGCTGTATTTAAAAGAATGACAGCAACAAAATCCAGCAGCTGAAATGAGACTCCTGGCAGATCTCTCTGCTAAAGCTGCAGAATATTCCCCTCAGACTTGCTTTTCTTCTGGCAGAGTACCTGTGTTCGCAGAAACTGCACCTCTTCTGTAAGCAGCTGCTTCTCTTTGAAGAGTTGATTCTGTTTGTTGAGCAACTCCACTAACTGCTGGGCAGTGGCCTGACAGTGCTTGTCAAGCTGCTGTAACCTGGAAAAAAATAGATAAAAGGGTTGCAGAGCATCTGAAGTTGGAGTTCACAGTAGAAGCTTTGATGTTTGCACTGGCGGGTGCAGCTCCCAGAGGCCAGAGTCCAGGCTGGTGGTTGGGCTGAGACCGAAGTATTACTCCTAGGATGGGCATTCAATGTATTTTCACACTCTAAACAAGCACTTTTAAAGGTTTGCTCCTTTAATTTAGGAGCCTTATGTGGACATGACAGCAAATTTGCTTTGCTGTGACATCAATAAAGACTGCAGGATTGCATCTCGACACCCGTAGCTAAGCAAGCTGCGCATTCTGTAGTTGCTTCAATAACTGTCTTCCTGAAACACACACAGTAGCCCAGATCATAAATCCAAACACCCAAACTCCCTGACAAACTGGACTTGAAGTGACAAAAACTTATGTTTTCTGTCTACTACTCTTTGCTGGTTAATGTCCAAAACTCATTACAGAATACATTTATTTCAAGTAAGCATAGTGTTAATTAAGTACGTCAGCATAGATCCTTTATTAGTGTAACAGGGATTCCTGGGGAAAGATGTAAAGAGCCTATTACTCCAAAGGTCCTCCTCATCAGGGTCTGCAAAACAGAGGGAACAAGCTGACAGTATCAGAAAAAACATGGAGAGGCCTTCTGCTTACACTGGAAAAATAAGTGCCTAAGATGGGACAATGCTACTGTAAGACAGGGCAAGCACACATTTACTTCTTTAATCACAAAAACGGGTATCACTTATTATGTCTCCAGTGACTGCATATACTCCTGGCACCCAGACAGAATTAATTTCCACTCATGTAAATTCTACATCAAAACAACATTTTTTACTAGATAATCACAGGTAGCCTGTGCAAATTTCACACTTATTACTGGACACAAGCCATAGTGCACTCTATTGTGAAGCTCTGTGTCCTTTCAAATCATGGAAGGGGTGATTGGGATAAACTACTGTAAACAAAAAGTCTTTAATTAGGGCAATACTACTCAGTTAGACTTTTCTGTTTGTAACTTCACCACCTACTGTGTTACATTTAAACTGTCCCCTTGAGGAGAGGGAGAAAGATGACACAAGCACTGAGCTGGGTTTGACTAGCAGGCCACAACTTTATCATCTGTATCTCCAGTGCTTGAGTACAGGTTTAATAACATTCCAATTTACAATTCTGGGCCATGATGGATGAAAAGGGAGCAGTTCTAGTCAGTGCAGATCTGGATCTGTGAATTCCCAAATTCTGTCTGCCAGTCTGCTCTCCCAAAATTGCTGCCAAGCTGGCCCTTGGTCCACACACTGGGACTCCCAGCCTGCTCTGGTGCATTTAGCTCCTGAGGACAGGCTCTGGGCCCTCTCACAGTATCTGCTATTATGTGTGACATGTGCAGCACAGCCACACATTCCCATATGCATTGTATCTGGCCTGCCTGCTGATCTTGTAAATGATTCAAGATGAGAAATGAACAGCTCCACCCACATTCACTGTACTTCCCATATGTTACAAATGCACATCGATGCCTGCCATCATTTTTACAACTGGGTGACAGAACCTTCTGCACATTTTGCTAATACAAGTGAGGGAGGTTGCACGGTCGCCACGCTCACTTTGGCAACACCACCTACCAGGCAACCATGTACTGTGTCCTGAGCATGAGTAACCACTGTGTCCTTGCCCCCCGTCCTAAAAGAGATCATTTTTCCACCAAAGTGCCAAGATCTGTCCAGTTGGGATGGCATGCAGCTGCTCTCCCTTGGCCTCGGAGTGCTGATGGACAGGGACTGACTGCACGCTCTGTCATGTTACTTCAAGAAACAAGGTGAAGACATGTAGCTCTTGAACCATGTTATGTTTGGACTCCTACAGGACAACCTGGCACTAAGGAGTAAACTCCCATTTAGTAGAAATAATAATTCAAATAATAATTCAAATAATTTCCCACTAGCCACTTTAAACCAAAGTTCTTACTTTTATATGGAAGCAAGAAAGAGACAGTTTCATGAGACAAGTGGTTCCACAGAAGAAGAACACAAGTGAGGCATCACAAGCTGCAATGAATGCTTCAAGGTAAATGTTTTAATCTGATTCTCAGTATTCTCAGAGCTTATGTTAGTATGGCTACAAGCTACCTTGCTTCTTTGTGCAGCTACAATCTGAAGAAGACATCTCTCACTTCACACAGCAGTAAAATTTGGATCTGAGACAAGACTATACCCTAGTCTATCAAGAAATGAAGTGAAAAGGGACAGATAGGGTTTTGTTATATTTTGACAGCTATGGCTAGACAATCACTGCAAGACCCTGCAGAAACTAGGTGAAACATCGAACATAAAGCAGAGCTTTGGCACCAAGGTGAATTCTACCAGCAGAATAAATTTCTATTGCAATCAACAGCATAAAGCTGTACTAGCACCCTCAATGTTTCACTTCAGCTATCCCCTTATCTTATCTACAGATAAAAACAAAAGCTTCCTTCTTTTCTTTAAGGACACATTGCTAAACCAGGGGCACCCACAAGACTCTGGCTGCAAGCTCCATGCCCTGGGGGACTAAGGTCCATTAATCTGCAGGCAATCCACAATGAAGGAAAAAGCTGATACAACCTGTCAGCCTCCCTCTAGGTTTTAATGTTGATTTGAAAGAAATTAATATGCAAGGATCTGTGGGCAGTGCCCATTCACCCTGCAATGGGGATCAGTCAGTCCTTGACATAGTAGAGGCATTAAAAGGTTATTTACTCTTTCAGCATAGTCAGGTTACTGATGTAAAACGTTTTCACTTTACTCCATGGAGCTGGATTTGCTGAAATGGCGTGATTGGATTGCAGCAACCTGCAGCAGCTAAATCACTAAATCCAATAATCATGCTGCATTTACTGGCACACATCTTAATTAGGTTTTAATACAAGTAATCTGATAACTACTCCTGGCCAGCCCGAGTGGAGCTGTCAGAGCTGAAAGGGCTGTTGTTGAGCAGCTCGCCGGCACACTGTTGCGGCTGCCTCCCTGCTGACCCTGCCGAAGCCCCTCATCTGCCAGTTGCCACGGTAACACAGGCCAGCCCATCACCTGAACAGTGGGTGCCGTGGCTGTTGGGCACCTCACGGCAAGGTCTGGGGCACTGGCCACCCACGGGGGCTACATCTCTGTGGGCGAGGGGGTGCCAGGGCGTGGCTCCCGCTGCCCCCCAAAATTACGAAAACTCAACACCATGAGAATATGTTACTGTGCAGAAAACTGCCTTTAAAAAGCATTTCCCTTGTCAGGGCAAGAATGTCAAGTTATGAGTTTCTAAGGTTGCTCCTGCATTGCTTGTTTGCCTGTAGGTAGATACAGTGATCAGAGGTGGCTTCTGGTTCTGAGCGGGAAAACCAAGGGCCATGTTGCAGACTTCTGCCATGCTGCAGGGATGCAACTGAAGGGGCTATGCCCCAACGTGAAGGCAGTGCCACATTTTGTAATCGGGCATTTGCGAATCTCAAATATTTTTAACATACTGTGAGTTCGAAAAGCAAATGCAGGTTTAAGAACAAGTTTGTTACAAAAGGAGGGAGCAAGCCAATTAGAAAAGAAAGCTAACCCCAGCAAACTTTCTATCAGCAAACCTCTACCTGCTTTTATACTTTTATAATTTTTTTTTCAGAACAGTGTACAAATTTAATATCACATGATAGGAAGTGTTTAAGTTTTGGTACTTAACAGATAGTTGTACTACAACCCATTAAAGGATATTAAATATGTATACTCAAGTAGTCAAGAGTTAGAAAACGCCAGAAACAAAGGCTTTCTATGCAACTCCTTCCCACCCTGGCTCCCAGCTCCATGGCTGTTCCCCTGCCCAGCCTTGCTCATCTCCTCCTGAGGCAGTTATCCACCACAATCCTGCTAAATAGTTTCAGTCTAAACCACAATTTTTGGCAAGCCTAATGAAATCACAAAGAACTTCAGAACTGCCTTATAATAAGGAGCATCACACACCCTTAAATACAAACTCTGATGATCGCAGTTCCTGACACAGATAGAACAGGCACTGCCTAATGTCATATCCTCCTACATACAGAGCAATGATCAAGTTTTGCTTTGTCTATGATGATCTTGGAAATCCAGACTTGCTGCCAGGCAAAGTGTTAAGGTGTATGGCTGGTGCTTGTGGTGAGCTTGTTTCTGCAGCCACAACTGCCCCAGCTGCTGTCACTCCCCACCCCTCTTGCAGGGTTGGTAGCATGGGTCCCCTCTGCTTTCCATGGTCTTAAGCTCTGCCAGGGGAGGTTTAGGTTAGATATTAGGAAGAAATTCTTTACAGAGAGGGTAATCAGGCATTGGAATGGGCTGCCCAGGGAAGTGGTGGATTCTCCAACCCTGGAGGTTTTTAAGATAAGACTGGATGTGGCACTTAGTGCCATGGTCTAGGAACCACGGTGGTAGTGGATCAAGGGTTGGACTTGATGATCTCAGAGGTCCCTTCAACCCATCTGATTCTATGATTCTATGATTCCACCTCAATTCTGCTACTTTTCTGTCTTCCCTTTTCATTGCAGAAGTAATGTTGTCATTTTCTTCAAGGCAGAAAAATTTATGTTCACTGCCTCTTTGTATCTTGAATCAGCTCTGTGGACAATTAGGTCATTGAAACCAATAGCAAAATCAGTTCTCATATGAGCAACCTGCATCTTCAGTGTGGCTTACAGCATCAGCAAATTCACACAGTAAATTTTGAGGCAGGAAAATTAGAGTCTATAATTTTAGAAATGCTGACAAATAGCAAATTGAACCCCAAAGTTTCACTAATGTCCTAAATTACTATTTACTTTAGATCTTGACCTATATATCAAGGCCTTGAGACAACCTTAAGAGATAAGCATCTCAGAGAAGTCCCCACATACTCCCAGAATTTTAACAGGAACATCTACACAATCTATCCTTTAACTCAGCTCTGTTCTCTCATCTACTTTCAAAAGCAAAACACTATGATCCACCTTTCTCATGTTAGTGAACTAAACAAAGCATAAGAGAAAAAACACAGAGACCAAAAAGCCACCCAGTAAGTGAGTAGGAACTAAGGGTAGTGAATAAGCCTCCTTGTTTCTGTCACACTGGAAGTCCTGACTTCTAACAGGACACAAGTAGACAGATCAGGGCATATTAAAAGTTTCTGTGGAATTTCCCACCCTCTGGAATTTCTATCAGAATT